TCTCTTCACCTCTATTGAAGCAGACAAACGAGGATTTACGCAAAACCAGATTTTTACATGAATCGTTTTAAAGATTTTATTTTTGTCTGACTAAAAGGAAACTACAAGAAACAGGAACTATTTTTTTTAAACTCCAGTAAGGATCTCCATCCTGGGATTGTTGCATTTTCATCCTTGTACGCCGGTTTGTTTACATTCATGCAACTGATTTTCTGGAAACTGCAGCTAAATGCAGTGATGGATCAACCTGTGGACCACTATGAGCACAGTTACGCATCATTTTACTTTGATGATTGGCCGTATTTTTGCAAGAACCCAAAGCAAATGGAAGAAGAGATTTAGAGGATGGAGGCAGAAAGACGTCAGGAACCTGGTGTTGTGCTGCACTTAATGCTCTGCTGCCGACTGAGGAGAAAACCTGTTGATGCCAGATGTGGAAAATCTCCAGGTGTCCATGGATGACAGTCATCAGTAATTCCTGATGTGGAACTGCAGCTAAAAATGTGTGGCTTCTGTAAACATCCTGGAGATGATGTGTTCCTTCCCAAAAATCCACTGAAGGAAAAGATCAAGACCAGCCAGACTGGAGTCTCATTGTTTTGGTATGAAAACATCCTTTCAGTCTCAGTCAGATCCTGCTCAAAGTGATTCCTAATCAGAAGAAACCTCAAACCTCCTCTTTCATCAAAAAACAAAACAAAACAAAACTTGGGCCAAAGAAGCTTTTCCTCTGCACACAGGACAAAGTCTGAACATCACAATATTTCCACATTTCAGCACCAACATGAATTCATGAACGACACACAAAGCACAGAACCCAGTTTGTTAATCTTTGGCTGTCCGTGGTGAACACGGACCTCCGAGATCACAAAACTGTCAGGACGTTTTAATCTTACTGTTAGAGAAAGTCTGATCTGTATACTGAAGTTATAAATATATTAAGTGCTATTATTATATAAATAGATGCTTTTCTATACTTTATATATATAATGTGATGTCTTGCATCATTAAATTTGCTACTAAGATGTGACAGCAGGTAGCTGTTAATAGCTAATAATCTTTTATCTGATCATCCAGATGGTCACCATCTTTCAGTTGAGAAAAGTCCGCAAAGGGTTAAACTGTCAGAGTGCTGCTTCAGACTCATATTGTTTCTACTTCATCTGTAGTAAAAATAGAAAACAAAAACTTTGAGATTTAGATCTTCATCCTGTGTTTGTTCTACAGCTGGGTGCATGATCCATCATTCCACATCTGTGCGTGGGAGAGGTGACCATAGCCTTTATTATGTTTTTATTCTTAGCTTCATTTCTACTGTACTACTTTTGCATTTCTTGTATTTCCTCTTCCTGGTCTTATTTGCATCCAGCTGCTGTAAAATGAGCATTTCTCCTGCAACAACTGATGTTCACAGCTCAGATACAGCTTCAAATAAAAGTGTAAACATGTGTGATAGTTTGGTTTGGATCCCTCTGCAGTCATTGTCAGTGTCACTTTAACAGTATTCAGACCTCCTTCAGGCAGACTGTAGTGTGTTTAAAGTCCTCTGACTCTCAGTGCCTTGCATGTTTGTTGGTTTTTCTGTTGTTGCATTGTGGCTTTCTTTTCGCCTCACAGGCTGCTGAAGGCGTCTGATGGAACTTGAAACTTGTGAGCCACACCTATGGTAAGTAGATTAGAGGAACTAAATAATGATGTGGGCCCTTCCCTAACACGCTCAAATAACTTGATCACGTTGCAGCCTGGAAGATCTAGTTTTTCTCACTGTGCACCAGCGACTTAGAATAAGATGCAAAGCAACGTAAAGCTTCTGCAGCATCACTGTCATGGTTCGAGCAACTCAGATTTTTAAGTTCATTTCTTGTTTTACTTCCAGTTGCTCTGGTTTAGTTGGTTATTTGTATTTGTAGCTATTTTAGTAACTTTGCCTTTTTTTTTTTTTTATTGCTACTCTTATCCAAGTTTTGTATTTGTGTGTCTGCATCTTTTATTTTCTTACTCTGCTACACTATAAAGGAAGCCTAAGAACATTATAAATAATCATTAGTAAGTTATACCTAACATACGAAACACATACATGAAAATAAAATAGAAAATTATTTTCTATGCAGTGCATTGCAATAGAAAATAAAAATAAAATAATCACACATACAGTTTATATAATATACAATTATTAGCTTGTTCTTTAAATTTGTATTTAATACAACATTTTAAAAGTTATATTATTTTATGGGGGAGGGGGTCGCTTTGGTTCCGTGTGACGTCACTTCCTGTTTTTGTTCAAACCGTCTGAACTAACGTCTGTACATCTCCCTGAAAAACATCACTAGCTTGTGCTGTTTTGTTTTGTTTTGTTTTGACACATGGCTCGTCTTTGGTAAGTTTCACACAGCAGCTACAAAAGTTCTAGCATAACTTTTGCGGCTAAGCTAACGTTAGCTTAGCTCTGTGTGTCGTGGGCACCGCCTAAACGCTCGAACTCTTTTTTTTTTTCTTCTTTTTTTTCCAGCGGGGTGTGTCGCTAGCTTAACTGTACCGGGGCTTTGTTGTCGGGTAAAGGAGTACCCCACACCCGACAGACAGTGCTGTCCGATATACCCCGAAGATACGAAACTAAGTCAAAACGACACACCGCCTCCATTTTGTCACCATCTCGTTGTTTTTGATCAAATTCCCCACCAGTGACCAAAAGTAACGTCGTTATTAAACACTAACATGTATGCTGGAAACAAACTACGTATCCAGACTGCCTGTTTTGGTATTAATGAATGCCTCTTGGTGGTGGACAAATATGTCATACAATGCACAATAAACCTCAGATCTTTCTTGTTTCCGGCTAGTCAAAATGTCTGGACTATTTATTGTACGTGGCGAGAAAGAACCAGACGTATCCTGTGCTGCGTTTAAGTGCTGTCGAAATTCAGAGGTTTGCTGTGGTCTATTCAGTGTGCTTTACTGGCTTCACTATCCGATTAACAGCACTGCCAGAGCATCCAGCATGATGCCATTTGTAGGGAATCGGGTAAGAAAATAATAATAAAACAAAAAAAATCAGTGAAAAGCAACTAAGCTTCTCTTTTAGGTTTTGGAAGACGTTTTACTTCTCATTTAAGAGGCTTCTTCAGTTTTTTTGCAGTTAAAAAAATACAATTTCTCAGCTGGAATGTAGATTTTAAATAGGATAAGAAGAAAAAAAAAGACTGACAAAAGTTTAAATATGTGGTGCCTGCGTCTCTCTGTGTGTGAGCCACATGTATCATAAATTATAAAAAGATAATTGTCATACTTAGTTGTTGTTTTCCAAACAGCATCTGTTGCCTTTTATTGTCATTTAGTTTGGTTAAAGTTGGGAATACTGAGGCAAACGTCCTGTTTTATATCAATATATTCTCCACATTTTAAGAAATCATCAGTTTCAGAGCATCAGAACGTCATCAGGAGGAATGTAAGGACTGTCCTGTGCTAGTTTCTGCGCAGAGGACAACCTGCTTTATTTTGTCAAACCTGAGCTACAGTTTGAATGAAAGCACTCCCTGGAAACATCAAAAGCAAAATGACTAAATGGAATAACAAAAGAGGGCCCACAAAAACCTTTTATGTTGTATTTTCAATGTACCTTTAAAAGCCTAGTCCGGACATGAACCACACACAAGCTGTTGGCGAGCACATTCAAATAGAGACACACGTTGTAGTTTCTTACCTTGCTGTACGGTATCCGCCTTCAGTTCAGGTTTCCCCACAGTAAAACTATATTAAATACTGAAGCAGAACTTTGTTGCTTTGCTAATTGTCGCTCGTCCTTCTGTTACACGTGTTCGTTGACCATGTGGTCGCAGAGCTAATGACGGAAGTGGCGATGTCAAACTGTAAGCGACATGACAACATAAAGACATTGGCAAAAAAAAGAAAGTGGTTAGAGTAAACCAGAAGCATGTTGCAAATACAGCATTGCAATATCTCTCAGTAACAAAAACACATCCTCACGAAAATGATGTGAAACTCTGTGAAATGTCGGCACTCCAAAACTCGTCAAACAGATTACTACAATTAACTTTACAACTGACGATTCATGTATTTATATGCATTTAGCAGACTTGTTGAACATTTTAAGTTGTGGGTTTTTGGTTCTGAGGCTGACGCGGCAGCAGCGGTTAAGTCTGCTGACACAGATCTTCTGCAGAACAACACCACTGTAACACCATAAAGTGCAGTTTGCATACGGACAGGACAATAAATAAAGAGAATTATGCTTCAATTTAGTTTTAAAAACTAAACACACATCTCAGTTACTTTCTGCTGCCAGTAAATTCACATTCTGCCACTTGACATGCTGCTCTTTAGCTATCCCTGCAGATAGGAGTCTAGATGAAAATAGCAATTTTAAATGAAAGAAATCAAAAAGAAAAACTCAACACTTATCTTTCCTCGGCTCTGTGAAGTGTGTGTAAAGAAACATGCTGTCTGCTGTGAACTGTACCAAGAACAAAGACTCGTTATTGGCTAATACAGACGACAAACCACAGGATGAGTTTTGAGTTGACTGAATCTGCATCTGAAAGAAAATTCATTGAAGGCAGTTGTTTGGAAATGAGTCAGAAAACATTTAAAGACGTCGCCTCGATGTATACGGGATATTTTTAACAATTTAACTATCATTTACAAGCAAAATGATTCATCAACAAGCTCTCTGAAACCCAAGCAGTTTCTGGGTGTTTCAGTCACTGTGGGCTCATTTTTTATTCCACTATGAAGACTTTTGTTTGTTTGTTCATAGAAATGAACAAAACAGAGAATTTTAAATGAGAGAATTGTATTCATTTGAGTTTTTATCGTACAAAAATTTGGAAAAACACGGGTCACAAAATCAACATGTCCAACATTCTTTGTTTCCAAACACCCACAGGTGCCACTAATACTGGGGAGAAGTGAAGCCTGCCATAGATGTTTAACTCTTTACAGTTTTAATTGGTTTCTGTACTTTGTCTGCTCTGGATAAACATGTCTTTAGTTTTTCAAAGAATATGTGTCGTTCAAACGGTTTATGTTTGGGGAAATTAAAGAATGAAGTGCTTTTAAGCTGAGAATTGGTTATTTTGCCCAACAGAATGCAAGTCACACAAGACCAATCTGCATGAGTGTTACAGGTCTTTAATGTGGGTTTTACTGACTTAAATGTTGTGTTGTGTTGAACAGGTAAAGTTGTTGGAGAGACTCACACCAGAGTCAGTGCAGCCCCCGTAAACCTGGGACTTTGATGAACCAACCAGTGGTCTAGAAGTGTCCTTCCCCTGCACTTCCTGTCACTCAGGTAGAGCCA